CCAACACACGTCACCTCTCTGGGCCTCTAGGCCACCACATCTGGTTATGGACCAACACACGTCACCTCTCTGGGCCTCTAGGCCACCACATCTGGATATGGACCAACAGCGCCTCTTGAAGGCCCCTATACTGACCTAGCACAGTGTAGATTTTTTTCTTTTTTAAATACAATTTTATTTCAATTGTGATTTTTAACAAACATTTACGGAGAAGTTAAGATTTTCATTGATTCACTCATTGTTGCACATTTTATCCCCTCTCCCTCACTTCCCCCTCTTCCAGTTCACTTTTTAAAATTAATTTTAATGAAAGTTTACAGAGACTTTGGATTTCCATTCATTCATTGCTGCACTTTTCTCCCTGCCCAACCTCCCCCACTCCCCCGACCCAGTTCGCTCTTCTCTTTGAAAAGTAAAATTCTTTCATTGTTATATAATCCCTCCCCCAAGTCCATTCCACTGTGCAGCCTTCATTCTGGACTCCTGTCTTAACAATAATACCTAGTCACATAACCCTTTTAATCAATTCTCTCCCTCATCTGTTTCAATGCAGTATACATTATTTATCCCATCTTTCTCAGTCTCCTCCCAATCCCCATGTCAGTCCCGTTTTACAACAGTGGCGCCATGTAGTATTTGTCCTCAGTGTAGATTTTTAAATGCTGAACCATCTTTGCCTCCTAGGATGAACTGGCTTATAAACCAACAGGATCTTGTTTAGGAAAGTTTGCCTCCAGCTTGCTAGTATCACACCTTGGTTCACAGGAGGGTGGACTGGCTGTAGGAACGGCCCGGTGCATTCACACCTCTTTCAGTGGTGGGTTTCCAATGATCTTGAGCTTGTCTTTGACCAATAGCACATGCCAATGTAAATGAGGCCCAGAGGAGGGCTCACACCCTAGGGTTGCTCTCTGGCTGCTGGGAACTCTGAGTGGCTGCATAGATGGGCTCGAGCTAGCACGCTCGGTGAAAAGGACGCAGGGTCCAGTCTGCCCCCATCGCTCCAGCTGACAGCCATCCAACTCTGGGAGGCGCGCAGATGAACGCAGACATGTGTATCAACACAGGTGAGACCAGCAGTAGAACCACCCAGCCAAGCCCAGCACACCTCAACGTTCAGATTCATGAGCTGAAAAGACACTTGTCTTGAGGTTGTTCGATTCACTTTAGAAATGAATGAACTTAGAACTTAACAGATAGACTTCAGCTCTCAGGTGCACTCACGTTATGGCCCTTGTGTTCTCTGCTACTCTCAGAGCTGTTCGTGGAATTGCCTCTGGTACCCACAGTGCTCCGTCCTCCTCTCTGTCAGCTGCTTCCCTTACCTTCCCCTCTTACTTCCTGCTCCCCTACCTGCAGATCCTGGGGTCCCCTCCCCAAGAAGCTACTTGCATTATAATTAATTCTAAAAAAGAACTCAAACTTTAGAATGTGATAGAGGAGGCATTTCAAGCAAGTTAAGAAAGGACTGATAAGTCAACAATTCATTTCTCTGGCCCCAATCCTGGGCTTCTTCCTGTCTTTCTCACCTCAATGAACAGCTTTCTATTCCTCCAGGATCCCAGGAACGAGTCTTCTGGGCACAGTCCTCGTCCTCCGCCCAGGCCACTGTCTTCTCTCGCCTGGATGACTGGAATAACCTCTTGCTAGGCTGTCCTCACCCTCTCCTACTCCAGGTGGCCAGAGAGCTCTCTTTCTGCTGCTTGAATGTCTTCAGGAGGAGTAGCTTTTGCTCTGACAGCAAAGACCCAGCTCCTTCCGAGAACCAGAATGCTCAGCGTTGCCTCGCTCCTGCCCATGTCTCACGGCGATTCCCACGATTTCACTGTAGCCATCCTGGTCTTAGTTTACGCCTGAGCACTCGCGAGGGGCCTTCCTATCACCAGGTCTTTGCAAGCACAGCTCTTCTGGACCAGCCTAACCCCTTCCTTCAGTTTCCCCTGGGGACCTGACCCCCAGTGACGATGTCCATTCCCCAGCTTTTCGCTCTCATGCACCTGCCCCGTCCACAGCATGATCACAACTGTAACTTGACGTTATTTGAAGAATGCCTCTTCTGCCGATATCCCAACTGATCGTCCTAGCCCTACAGATCTGCGTTCAAATCCTGACTTTGCTCTGACTCACCGCAGAGCCCGTGGCCTGGTCGCTTAGCCTCACTGTGCCACCACCTCTTATCATAATGGGGAAGCAGCGGCTACTCTGCTGGGTGCTAGAGGGTGAGGTCGGGAGACAAGGAGGGGTCAGCACAGTCCTCGGCACAGACACGGCCCAGAGAATGGGCACCACTAATGGCATTTACAGATAAGGAAGCTGAGGCTCAGAGAGGTTAGGTGAGCAGCCTGAGGTCACACAGCTGGTAGTGTCCAGTTATTTATAAACTAGTTTTGCTCGCTATCCCTTGGAGGCCCTTCAGAGGGGACCACAGGCATGTGGTCAGTGAGATGGGAATCTCTGGCCTGGACTCTAGATGTTTGGAACTGGAAGGATACGATGGCCAGAGATGCTTTTCCTTATTTTATAGACGAGGAAGCAGAGGCTCAGAATGTTCGAGTCATTAGCAAACACAGGTGGTAAATACTAGAATTGGAAGGAGCTTAGCTTCCCAGTTTACAGATGGGAAAACTGAGTCCAGGGGACTTCTGGAGGAATCTCACCTTCAAAGCCTGTCCTTGGCTGCAGGAGCACAAAGCCTTGGGGACGGCCCACACTCACCTGCTTCTGCTCCTCTCCCAAGCTGTCCCACATGGAGGCCACAATCTTGGACACGTCGCCGAAGGTGGCGCTGGGGTTCTGCCCCTTGATGGCAGCCTGAGTGTCTCTGAAGAACAGCGCGTAGGCCGACACGGGCTTCTGGGGCTCGTTGGGGTCCTTCTTCTTCTTCTTCTTCGGGTTCTTGGCCTTTTTCCCCGGGTCAGCTGAGGGTCTCTTCTCTCCTGAGATCTGCCCAGGTAAGAGGAGTCTAAAAGCCTCTTGCCAAAGCTGGTCCAACCCTCGGAGCATCCTTGGCCAGAGCAGGACTTGGCTTGGCAGCCACATGCATGGGGAATGACAAGGACTGGACACTTCTCAGGGCTCAAGCACATGCAGTGGGCTACACTGCCGGCTGGCCATTCACCAGGTGTGGAAGGAACTAGAGAAGACAGTGGAGCCTGTCCAAGGTACACACACACGGACATGGACACGGACACTCTCCCCCTTGGGTAAAAGTCTTGGTAACTCGAAAAAACAAGGAGAAAGAAGTATTGATAGTCCCTGACAATGAAAGAATGCTCACATAGGATTACTAAACAGCATATAAAATTGGTGAAAACTGACCAAGAAAACTAGAACCTTTAGAGTTTTTAACACTTTCCTAATGGACAGAAATCATGTGCATCTCTGTTAGAAAAAACTAACTTTGATTTGTCTTCTGACAAACAGAGTTTGCAGTTCTACGGCTCCTTTCTAACCTAACAGGCTTTTACAGAGTTGTGAAATACCTGACTCGATAATGAATGACAAACCCAATCAAAGGTATGTTCTCCTAGAGAGTCAGGTAATTCCCAAGTGAGCCTCTTGGCAAATGTTTTGGGCTGACACTGAAAGACTATTCTGTCATTTCTTTGCCTTGTTTTAAAGTTCTGGATATATAAGCAGAAATGGCATCCATTTCCTAAACAACACACCTCCAGAAACTCTGTGAACTTTGATAAATGTTGACAGTCGTAGAGGGGCTTCAGGCCTCGAGTTCACAGGGTTGCTATGAGTCGTACTTGACTTGACAACAATAACTTATATATTTTCCCTTATGTTTCTGGCTTTGTGATCATAGATAACATCCAAAGATTACTCTTGATGACAAAGGTTCAATTTCTTTCACCAAGTCTCAGCTGGGCCTCTTTGGGAAGGTGGCTGGACCCCCTGTGATGGCCTTGGATGGGGAGGTCAGCACTGGAGGCAGTGACCTCACCTTGGACACCTGGCTAGGGAGCAGTCAGACGCTAAGTCCATCATCCTATGAGTGTATGAATAAGGGCTCCCAGAGGGGAGGTACAGGGGTGCTCCCCACAGACCTCAGGTCACACAAGGACCCAGGACTTTGGTCAGAAGTCTTGGATCTGGCAGTAGTGACATCGCAGCTCTAAATATCAAGAAGACGCAGGTGACATCACAGAGTGACAGAGAACTCACGGTCCAGTGGACGACACTCAAGTGTCCATGTCTGAGGGACAGTGAGGAGACAGAATCTGTACAAGCGCTGGTTCAATTCTTTAGTCTTTCACTACAGCCCCCCACCTCCCTGAGCCTCAGGTGCCTCGGTGTCTTGTAGGTACAGGATGAAGATGCCCTTTGTAATGAACGAAGAGGTAACTAGATGTTGCTGGGACCACGTACGCTGGACCAGCCCACACACACCTGGCCTGAACCCTGGCTCCACCACGCGCTGCAGTGTGACATGGATAAGTGACTTAACCTCACTGGGCCTCAGTTTCCCTATCCGATAAATGAAGATAATCTTGGTACCTGTGCTGCCAATCTGATGACAAGTGGTCTGAAAACATCAGCTAATCTGCTGGAGAAGGTGGGCAATTTCTTCCCATGCGATTTACAGCCTCTGAAAACTCACTGGAGGGTCAACTATGAGTCGGCTCAGATTCAACACCACACAACAACCACCACCACCACAATCACAATGACACGAGGTTGTTCTGAGGATTCCATGGGTGAAGACTTACATGCCCAGACAGTGTCAGCCCCATAGAAAACATTTTAGAAATGTTTACTAAGTAAGGGCCTTTATGCTGAGTGAACTAACTCAGTCCCACAAGGATAAATATTGTATAAAACCATTATTGTAGAATGAGTATGAGGAACCAAGAGGGGTGGGAGAGGCTGGAAGCAGAGGGATGTGGATGTACAGGGGGAGGGGGAATTAATCATCAGTTTGTACAGTTTGATGGGGGGGGTGTGAGGGGAATGGAAAGAATTAATTCGAATTTGTATTCAAATTTTGTAAATAAACTAGTAGTTGTTGTTGTTGTTATGTGCTGTCGAGTCGTTTGCGACGCATAGCGACCCTATGTACAACAGCCCTAAACCCTGCTCTATCCTGTGCCAATCGCATTGCCTCTGACACACCCATCCTGATTACCCCAGTCACTGAATCAATCCACCTCATAGAGGGTCTTCCCCTCCTGCGCTGTCCCTCTACTCTACCCAGCATGATGTCCCTCTCCAAAGACCTGTCTTTCCTTGCAACATGTCCAAAGTATGTCAGACGAAGTCCCAGAATCTTTGTCTCCAAGGAGTAGCCTGGTTTAACCCTCCCCTCCCTGGTCTATGATAATGGTAGAGTGACCCGAGATGAAGTTGGAACAGGATTCAGAGGCACCCACGCCCAGCAGTCCACAGGGCCAGAGTCTCTGATGGATTGTCCTGGCACCATGGTTAAGGCCCTGGGTTACTGTTGGGTTGTTAGTGGCTACTGAGTCAGAACTGAGCCATAGCTGACCCTCCAGCGGGTTTTCAGGGGCTTTAATCACAGAAATAGATGCCATCTTTCTCATCTACTTTGGGTCAGCAGCCCGACTCGTTACCCACGAGGTCACCAGAGCCCCCTAGGCTCTGCCCCGCTGTCCCCACATACCTTGAAATGTGCTTCTGTCTCCTCCTCTTGAGTCGAGCTGGAGGGTGAGGGGGTCGCTGACTTGCTTCCTGGGGGGGACGGCGAGCTGTGAGTGATGCCACTCCGAATGCCCATCTGAGAAATGAGCTGAGACTGGCTGAGGGCGCTCACGTGACTGGCCAGCATCCCTGGCCGGCCCAGCAGGGGCCCTGGTCGGCCGGAGTCATAGGCAGCAACCTCCGAGTGGACCATTTCCTGGATCTGAGAGAGGAGGACAGGGGAGTCTGAGTTAGAAAGGGTCTGTCCGGGCACACCGTCATGCCTGCCCTGTGGAACCTGGAGGGTGGGACGTGGAGGACCACCATGCTGGACTCTGGGCTGGGCTTCTCCATGGCTCTCTCCCTCCAGGTGGAGCGGCCAACCTACTCCACTCTGACCCCCGCAAGAAAGGTTACACTGATGGGGGACCTGCAACTCCCCAACATTTTGCCACTCTGTTGACAATCACCTTAGAACCACAGTACAGCTGTAAACTAACCACTTTACAGTCCAGACTTCTCCCCTGCATTGTGCTGTTTCTGCATCACTCTGCAGTATAGCAGCAGAATACAGATGCTGGGAGCCAACTGCCCTTTAAATCTTGCTAATGTCAGTGGTAGGGAGTTCTGGTGGCTTAGCAGTAAGGGACTGCGCTGCCAACGCAAAGGTACGCAGTTCAAATCCATCAACTGCTCCATAGGAGAAGGACAGGCAATCTCCTCCAGTGCGATTTATTGCCCCTGAAAACTCACTGGAGGGTCGTCTATGGGTCAGCTCTCTGAGATTACAGTGCAGCTTCTTGCCACTAGGCCACCAGACCTCCCTGGTATGGGTCAGTTCTGACTCAAGGGTACCCCACTGTAACAACTGTCAGTGGTGAGCTGGGTGACTGTGACCAAGTCGCTTAACCTCTCTGAGTCCTCATTTTCGTCATCTGTAAAATGTGGATTATAATCAACCATCAACCTACCCCGGAGAGTCGTGACAGGATTAACTGTGTCTGGAATTAACAAAACAAACCAGGACATGACTGATGCTGAGTCCGTTCTCACCAGGGCAATCCAGTGTTCAAGAAAAACTTTGCTCCACTGGGTTTTCAAGGGCTTATTTTTCAGAAGGCGATTGCTAGGCCTCCCTTCAAGATCCTAATGAGGGGATCGGAACCTCTAACTTTCTGGTTAGTTGTTGAGAGTACTGTGTTAATTGTTGGCATCTTTCTAGGACTCCTTCTTCCTGGCACACAATAAGCCCTACATAGCACCAAAATTTGCTAACTATATAAGATTAAGAAATCTCTTGATAGAAGCCACCCTTCTAAATTCTTTTGGGTAATTACTTCCTTTCTTTATAATGTTATCACCTATCTATGTAATTGCAATTCTTTCTATGTAATCTAAAATAGTTATTTCTTTTTACCTGGTTCTTAACTTCACCTACGTAGAATGATAATGTTGACATTATATTTGTGCTCATTTTTCAAATGTGATGTTTTAAGAACTTAGTTTATATTTGTATAGGTAGATTTAGATTTTTAACTTACACATTTCCAGCTATTCCATATGTATATTACAAATTATGTAGTCTTTGTAAAAAAAAAAAAAGAAATCTCTTGATAAATACTCAGCCTTTCTGCAGTTCAGTATTTTTCTAACCCTACTATGACAGTCTCTGCTTACCTTTATAAGAAAGCCATTGATCTGTGCTTGCAGACATGTATCTGGAAGGGTCTGGACTCTTCATCTAAATGTTACACTGTGTACACACTGTGGTGAGGTTTATCAGTCCGCACATTTGTAATTACTTCTATTTACTCCCATCTGTGGTTCTTCTCCTCCTTTTTAATCTGAATGCTGAGTCTCTCTTTTCCTTCAGTTTTCTTTTGTAGATAAGCTAATGGGTTTTCTGTTTTATTATGTGGGTTGCCTCTCTTCTCCTCCAAAGAATCTTGAATTTATTTATCAATTCTCTGCTTTCTCACCCTGAGAAGTCCCAATTTTATCTTTTTTAATCCTTTCCTTTGCTTTTAAAAGTCTTACGATGGTGACTCCCCTCTCGATTTTGAGCTGCACGTTTAATTAACTTATTCCCAGTAACAAGTGCTATGCATTTTCCTCTGCATTATGATGACCTTTGCCAGCCCCATACTGCGTTTCTTTCCTTCTTGGACTCACTCCCCATTTCCTTGCACCTCTTCCTTGCATCATCCTTTCCCCATCCCATACAAATCACTTGTACTTCAACTCTCTTGTCAGTGCCTGCTATTAAGATCTCAAACTAAGGCACCTTCCCATAGCCTCTGACCCTGCCTCCTAGGGTCCAGACTCTATGCTGGCCACCAGTGTAATCCTTCTGGGACACAAAATGTCCCTCCATGCTTGCAGTCTTTAGGGGCTCCCCTCTCTCCTCCAGTGGTCTTTGTGGCAATACCTGGCCTTGTAAAATGTCCTGTGAAGATGTGCACAATTTCCTAACCTTGAGCCCTTCCCCAGAGCTTCTGGGGACACATGGGTCATCCTAGGCAGGAGTCCCCGTGCTTCTCCTCCATCGTCATCCTCTGAGGCTCACCTACAGTGCCCACTCCTCCAAGAAGCCCACCCTGATCTCTCTTCCATCCTCATCCTCTGGCCGTGTCCTCTACCGAGCCTTTCCCAGCATTCGGGTGTATCTCCTTTACTCCCCACGTGTGTCCCTTTTACTCCCCAAGTGTGTCCCCTTCCCCTGTGATGTGCAGACACCGGCTGCTAGCACAGGGCAGAGAGCTGGCAGCCGGCCAGCGCTCACGATTCCTGGGAACCACACGGACGGACGAAGCCTGCTGTTTCCCTCTTGGAAACATATGGTCGCGCTCAGGAGCTACATCTGCACCCTCTCCAGGCAGGATGAGCGCAGGGAGCAGTAACAAGGCATCGCTGTGAGCCTAATGAGGTTCCCTGGGCTTAACAGATTCTCAGGGCCGCAGGAACACAAAAGCGCTTTTCACAAATTCCCTGCTTGCAGCCTCTCCAGAGACAGCCGCGTGCTGAGGACAACCCCACTCAGCGCGGAGAGAAACAGTCCCCCTCCCACCGCCTTCCCTCCTCCAGGCCCTGCACCGAGGCTGGCCTGCCAGGCGCCCTGGAAGCGGGAGTCAGGTGTCATTAAACACAGCCCCACACCCTGCCTGGTGAACTGGCCCACTTCTTCCCGTGGGGGGTGGGGTGGGGCAGAGACACCACTCAGTTGTGTTCTCTCAATTAAAGTGCTGCCTCAGAGGGTCCAGAAACTTCTCCTTCATTTCTGAGCACACTTAGGCCCCAGAAGAAAATGAACAAGCCACTGGGCAGCATTTTACAGCTGCCCCCTTTACAGTCTCACAACAGCTCGTTGCAATAGATTGGAAAACAGGGGTCCCCCACTTTGCAACAGATTCAAAGGCAAGCAACACAAGCAGGGCTCCTTCTGCAGCGGATTGGAATGCAGGTGAGCCTCCCCGTGCAAGCGATTCGGAAGCAGGCTCACCTTGACGTTGCTGCACGCTCGGCACTCCACTGAGGCCTTACAGTTCCTATCACGGAAAGCAAGTCACGTGAACGACTCAGCTTCCCAGTGCATGTAAAAGTGCTTATACTCCGCTGTACTCTATTAGGGCGCTCTGGTGGCCTAGTGGGTAGGGAGTTGTGCTGCCAACCCAAAGGTGGGTAGTTTGAATCTACCAGCTGCTTCTCAGGAGAAAGATGGGCAATCTTCTCCTATGCAATTTACATATGTTGTTGTTGTTAACTGCTGTCAAGTCGAGCATGACTCACAGCGACCCTATGAACAGAAGACCTGAAGCCTTTCTAGAACGATCATCGAATTTACATATGAATTTACATAGAGCTTTTGAAAATCCACTGGAGGGTCAGCTATGAGTCGGTTCCGAATCAACAGAAATGAGTCTTTTTGAGGCTTACAGCCTAGTAAGCTTGCAACAGCAATGTGAAAAAGTCTGAAAGACTGTAAGAATTACTAAGAGAGACACACAGTGTGTGCTGAAAAATAGTGCTGACAGAGTTCTCGTCACAGGATGCCACCAACTTCAAATGTGTCGGAAACACAATTTATAGAGCATATTAAAGATTGAGACAGGAGGACCAGCTTAACGAAGAAGTAAAAAGCAATCTGTTAGGGTGTGCCTGCACCCATTTCAGCGAGGGTGGGCTGTAATGTTTAAATGCTTCGAAAAGCTGGTGGTTTGAATCTATTCAGCGGCTCCGAGATCTACTCTGGTGAACATTACGTCCTCGAAAAGCCCCCGGGAGGCAGTTCCGCTGTCACATGGTGTTGCCAGGAGCTGGGGTGGCCTCGACAGCACTAACAACAACAGAAGCAAGGATGTCAGTGTGAAGACTAAGGTGCGCCTGATTCAGGCCACGATCTTTCCCATCGGTTGCTTTACACCTGAGAGCTGGACAATGAATAAGGATGACAGAAGAAGAACCAGTGCCTTTGAGCAGTGGAGTGGGAGAAGAGTACTGAATATCCAATGGACTGTCAAAAAGACAAATGGAGAACGTGCAGCCAAAGTGCTCCCTGGAGGCACAGATGGCGCAGCGTCGTCTCACGCACTCTGGGCATGTAGCTAGGAGAGGCTGCTCCTTGGAGAGGGACCTCATGCTTGGAGAGGTGGAGGGTGGGCAACAATGAGATGGATAGACATAGTGAGTACAGCAACAGGAGCTAGTGTATCAGGAATTGTGAGGATGGCCCGGGGGAGGACAGGGCTCAGATCTGCTGTTCAGGGGATCACAGGTATGGAACGGTGACAATAGCTACAACAATCCACCTATCACCTGCAGTTGGAGCTCTGCTCGTCTAGTAGGTAAGGAGCTGCACGCCCAATGGCAGTCAGTTGGCTCAATCCACCAGTTGCTCTTTGGGAGAAAGATGGGCAATCTCCTCGCGTGCAACTTACAGCCTCTGAAAACCTACTGGAGGGTCAGCGATGACCCCCTTGACAGCAGAGAGCCCCGTACAAGGAGTTTCACAGACAAACCTTTGGTTTAAGCACTGCTATCCCTCCCATTTGACATTCAAGACACTGAGGAGGTGAAGTGATTTCCTCAAGTGACACAGAGAGATGGGAAGGCTGGAATCTGAGCTCTTCTCACTGCTCAGATCACAACAGCTCTCACACCAAAGTTCAAAGTCAAAACCATTGCCATTAAGTCCAGGCCGACTCATAGCTGACCCTCCAGCAGGTT